CTGTGGGCAGTGCTATCCTTAGGCAGGTGGGAATAGGCTTTATAATGAAGGTAGCTGGTAGCTGAGTAAGCCAGAGAAGGCAAACCAGTAAGCAACATTCTCTGATTTAGCTCCTGTCTAGGTTCCTGACTTGATTTCCTGCCCTGACTTCCTTCAATGATGGACTGTCACTTGGACATGTAAGATTAAATAAATCCTTTCCTCCCCTAAGTTGCTTTTGGCTCCCCGTTTTCCTTTTAAAACATGCTCAGCATGTAGTATTCATCTTCATGATTCCAAAATGGCTGCTGCTATTCCATCCATAGTCGTGACAAAAAGAATAGGGAAGAAAATTAAAGGTGTGTGTAAGCTGTCTCTTTATTGGGAAAAAAGACCCTCAAAACATCAAACAAATACGTAAACCTTTTCAAAGCCTTACCCAATGGATTTCCAATGCCCTCTCAATGGCCAGACGGAGGATATAAGACCACTATTATGCAAAAGCCTGAGCAATTTGAATTCTTTAGCAGAGCATATTGAAGTTCCCTGTCTAGAGCTAGACTCCCAGTGAGAATCTCAGCCCTGCCACTCAGTGGCTGTATGACCTCAGATGATTCAGTTCAGTTTCTTCTGAAAGATGGAGATAAGATGATAAGAGGATTGTTAAGAGATTGAGTTAGCATTTATCAAGCATGTAGAACTGTGTCTGGGGCATCTATCAAGCATGTTGAACTGTGTCTGGGCCAATGGTGCATAAGTTCTTTCTTAATAGATGCTGCAATGGACATTAGGTAAACAATTAGCAGCCATGAGATAGAGAAATCATAAGAAGTGAAAATAAAAATACCACTAACACATAAGTCAGACATATATAGCATAAAGTAGTATGAGTCATTAATTCCTTGAGCTAAAAATTGTGTTGCATAAATGCTGCCACTTAAAGAACTGTGAGCCAATGTCATTATAAGGATAGATTTTCCTTTCCTTTCCAGGAAAATGAGGATTTCAGGTTTCATGTAATCAGCTTCTTTTATACTAATTGTAAGGTCTGAGGCTTAAAGCCTAAACAGAGGCATGTATAATTATTGAAATATTTGGGAAAAAATCCTGGAAATATACCCATCTCACACTGTGATGACTTGTTTCTCATTTGTGTGTGATCTCATTCCATTTTTATGTGTTTGTCTACTATTATTTCTTTTTATGTATATGTATATATATTTATTGTGTGTGTGTGTGTGTGTGTGTATGTGTGTGTTTGTATGTATGTATACAACTCTCAGGAGTCAGTTCTCTGCTGCTACCTAGTGGGATCTGGGGATTGAACTCAGATTGTCAGGCCTGTGTGCAAGCACCTCTATCTGCTGAACCATCTCACTAGTCCTTGTTTATTAGTTACTGATGCTTTTAGATACAGAAAATGTATTTGTTATAGGTATCTCATATGCGGATAGTTTTTAAAGGACAGATAGATTTGAATTCTAAGCCTAGGACTGCTAGTAAGCTATGTAACCTTAGATACCTTACTTCTCTAAGCCTCAATTTCCTTCTTTGTAAAATGGGGGTAGTAGCAGTATCAACTTCTCAGGATTGTAATAGATGTTAAATGAAATGTAATAGTGTTAGCACTGTTCTTACTATGCAAAAAAGTTTAATAAATCTCATCAAATAAGCATCATCATTCTAAAAACCAACCTTTATGCAGGAGTATTAAGTATAATAAAATATCCACATAGTTTTAATAATATGCTTGTGTGAATGGCGCCATATTTGAGATACAGATCACGTATATCAACCTACAACCATTACATTTAAAATCAGAATACCAGTGTCTTATCTGTAACCACATGGAAAGTCTGTGTAAAGCAACATAGGGAGTCAGCCATAAAAAAAATCAGTAAGTACAAACTAGAATTACAGAGCCACAGAAGTGCAGTAGAAGGAGAATTCATCCTGAGGGGCTGAGGTGCAACACGGATACTGCATTCTACCACATCTGCCTGTTTATAGCAGCAAGACCATCCTTCCCTGTTAATAGCAGCTTATTTATCTTTTGGGGAAACAATTCCCCAGTGCTATATGTGTTTGTATGGGATCTGCACTATCCTTGGTTCTAGTCTTGTCATTTCTGCTGCAATCCTAGGAAAAACTTCTCTTACTGCACTGTGCATTCTTTTTTTGTTGTTGTTGGGGACAAATGTGCCCAGGGCCTCAGTGCATGAGAGGCAAGCATTCCACCACTGAGCTATAGCACCAAACCCCTCTACATTTGTTGCTTTTCTATTACTGTGATAAAATACCATAACCAAGAGCCACTTAAGGAAGAAAGGGTTTATTTTGGTTATTTTAGTTCCAAGAGTCCCATCAAGACAAGGGGGCATGGTGGCAAGGAACGGCATGGCAGCAAGAGCCAAAAGCTGAGAACTCACATCTTTAAACACAAATACAAAGCAGAGAGAGCAAGCTGGAAGTAGGGTGAGGCTATGCACTCCTAAAGCCTGTCCCCTAGTCAACACTTCCTCTATCAAGTCTACACTTCCTAAAGGTACCATGATCTCCCCAAATAGCATCACCCCCTGGGGACCAAGTGTTCAAATACTTGAGCCTACGGAGGACATTTCTCATTCAAACCACCATATCCTCTATTTCCTTTTTTAAAATTTTGAATCAGGGTCTCAGTGAGCTACTTAAGTTGGCCTTGAACTCAAGGCCTGGGCAGGACTTGAACTCCCAATCTTCCTGCCTCAGTCTTCTTCTGGGATGACAGGCCTGTGCCACTTACAACTAATCTTGCTGAATGAAAGAGCTCTGAGAATACAGCCATCACAAAGTAAAGTCAGGGCTCGGGTAGAACTGAGTGGAGAGCTTGCCTAGGGTGATGGAGAGCCTGGGTTCCATTCCCAACACCAGTACTAGCACCACCAGAACCTAAACAAAGCAAACAAATGAATAAACCAAATGAAAAACAGGTTCCAGAGGGATAAAAGTCCCATCAAGATAGGGAGGAGAAGCAGAAGTTCAGCTCTACAGTCATTTCTGTGCTTGTGTCATTTCTTTATTTCATATGAAAGTCATTTGTGGGTCTAACTGTTCCCATTGATTTGTGTGACTGAAATCTATCCTGTTACATGAATGACTTTTCCTCCTTTATTACCCATGTGTACTTGTGTGTCCCTCCTGTTGACAATGTGCATCTTTTTTTGTTGTTGTTGTTTTTCAGACAGGGTTTTATTATCTAGCCCTTGATGACTTGGAACTTGCTATGAGCATCTTTGAGGAATCAAGGTGTTTAAAGATGGGGCTACAATATTGAACATGGTCAAGTCCTTTTCCTTGTGGAGCTTTCTAGGACACAGGTGCATCTTCCACATGCCAGGTTTTGCATTCAATACTGCTGCATTCTAAGTGTCTTTTTCTCATAATATTGCTGAAAGAGTGGGAAGTCATTGCAGAAACTTTGGAGTAAATTTGTAAGTTCTGTCTCTATCATCTACACAATGTACATATTTGTCTGTGCATGGCTATAATAAGGATTTAGGAGCTGCTTTTGCTGAAAGTGCCAGCCCTTCATTTGGGCCTGTAGATGCCCCGAGATCCTAATGCATACATGAAAATGTGATAAAAAAATTAGCATCTCTGCTTCTATCTTGACTTCTACCTGTCTCCTTTGCTCCTGGTCACTCTGGGTTCAAGGAACAAGAAGTCTGATGGATAAACATTTTGTGGCAAGAGTTGAGAATACCTTCCAGGCAATGGCAATTTACTTCATGCCTGACAATCTTGAGATCAAGATCAACTAGACCACAGTTCAAGACTGTTTTTAACTTGTGCATACTTTCTGCCTTCTGCTTCTGGCTCTCCCTGTGTAATCTGGGAGTTCATATTAGTACTTCTGAAGACAAGGGTGAGGATGTTGGTCCTCCTGTCTTCCTGGTATGGCCACAGTGATTAAAGCTCCTTTCTTGATTTTCCTCATTATTTTCTCCATTTTCTTCTAAGGGAAAGTGGCTGGAGCTGATTTGTTAGGACCCCAGAGATGGGCCTGTGGCCTAGGACCCCAGTAACATGGTCATATTAAATTATATACTTGTGAATATATTTGTGCCACACAGACTTATTAAGTATGTAGACTGTACGTCTGACTGTGATCACAGTAGAGACCCCAACTCCTGCTTCTCTCTAGATTCCTGACAGGTTATTCTCTTAAACCATCAAAGTTCTGTGTGATCTGTCCTGTATCGACAGATAGTGACAGTGTCTACCTTTAGGTGTTCAAGACAAGCATTGTAAATAGACTTGCTTTCATGGAGTTTCCATTCCAGATCCAAGGCATCTGGTTCCTTGTTTGCTTCTTTTCTCCTCCGGAACAGCAGTCAGGTTTTGGGCTCATCCTTGGATGCCAAGTCTAGGCCTGTGTTTGTGCATAGCAGACCGTTTGAAAACACAAAGATGGACACACACACACACACACACACACACACACACACACACAAATTCCTGGACCATAGAACCCTATTCTGTCGGAGTTCACAATTCAGTGCTAGACAGTGGGGGACCTAGCTTGCCAAATGCGGTGAGTGAGCTGCCAATGTTGGCTCTTGTGGCTGAACACTGGGAGGGAGGGTGGTTCACAGACTTGCAGCAGAAGGTGGAAAGGGACAACCGGGAAGGATTCATTTACTGGCTATACAAATACTGATTGGCACAGCAGTGCACATAACGCATATTATTTGCTATTAAATGCCAGCCGCTGTCAAGGTGTGTGGATGCAACAGCAGACTAGAGAACTACGGCGGCACCTGCCCTCGAGAAGCTCACTGTGCAGCAGCGAAAAACGACGGGCACTGGCTAGAACCCTGTAAGATGGTTTTAGGTTCTCAGCAGGAAAATAAAGGTGGCTGAAATTCTTAAAGATGTGAGAACCAACCTTCAGTGGGGGGCAGCCGTGGGCGGCTTTGGAGCTGGAGTGGCCGTGAGGGGACGGACAGTAGGGGGCGGGAGGGGTGCAAACTAATTTAAAGATGCAAACACGTTCTGTCCGATTGGGAGGGAGGCGTGTGAAGCTCAGTGCGCGGAGACTTCTCCTGGGCTGGGGGCTGTATTTTGAGTGCAAGCTCGATTGTCCAGCAGCGTTGGGCGGGTTGCAGCGAACTGCAGTCTTCAATCCTAGATTTTTCATGCTCAGCACCGCTAGGTTCCGGGATTCCCCGGATCAGCAGACGCCTCGTCTCCAGCTGGGCTTAGGACCGCAGCAGGCGGTCAGGGTGGCGAGGGCGAACGCCCAGCTGCACACAACCAACCCTAGGGCTCCAGGTCCGCAGCACCCGGCGCGGGAGGGGGCGGGACTTGCTCTGCGGACCTAGGTGGTGGCGTGGACTCCGCCCCCCACCTCAGACCCCGCCTTCAGGATGACCTGATTGGATTAAACCCGCGGAAGGGCAGGGCGTCCTCGGGTGTCCCCGGGGGGTCGGGCTGAGAGGAACACGCTGATTGGCTCTGCAGGGGATTAGGTCATCGCTAGCAGGTTCGAGAGGCCCGGACGCCGGCGGGGCTGCAGAGGCTGCTGTGAGAGGGCGCTACGGGCTGCAGTCTGGCGAACCCGCTGAAGAGGCGGGGAGGCGGCGTCCGCGCTCGCTCGCTCGCTCCCTTCCCGCATCGCAGAGGGGTCTGCCGCTGCGCTTCCTGCTCGCTCGCCGCTCGGTGGCTCGCCGCGGGAGCATCTGCCTCACGGCCCCGGTTCCGGCTGCGTTCGGGAACCTCCCGCGGACTCCGCGCGCGCAGCGAGCCGGCGCCACACCTGTGGATCGCGCGGCCGTCGGGGGTGCGGGCCGAGGTCGGGCGGCGAGCGCGGTGCGGGCGCCCGAGCCCTGCGAGAGGTTTGTCCCCTCGCTGGGTGCCGCGGGCAGCATGGGGCTCCCGGCACTTGAGTTCAGCGACTGCTGCCTCGACAGCCCGCACTTCCGAGAGACGCTCAAGTCTCACGAAGCGGAGCTGGACAAGACCAACAAATTCATCAAGGAGCTGATCAAGGACGGGAAGTCGCTCATCAGCGCGCTCAAGAGTGAGTGTTCTGAGCTGGGAGGGACCGGGCCCGGGCGGGAGGGCTGAGTGCGGCGGCGCTCGGCGCGGGGTTGCCGGTGAGCTGCTGGCTTTGGTTCCCCGGGCACTGAGTGACGGGTGTGGATGCTGGTGCCCGGGCAGGAAGGATATGTAAAATGAACGAGTCAGCCACATCAGAAGAGGAAGGCGTCCCGCCCAGCCCCTGCCGTTCGAGGATGGCTGGGAGGTGTTGCATCGTGGCGGTACTCTGGGCTGGGTGGGTGTGTGCAACACACAGGTGTCCCGACGTGAGGCCAGAGCGCCCAGCCTGCCGGGACATCCGTCACCTCCCAGACTCGGTACCCTTAGGGAGCGAGTTGTGCACCACTGGGTGTCCAGCTGTTGGAATGGAGCGTGCCGAGGGGGCGGCTGCCTGTCCCCGGGAAAAGGCTGGTTGTGACTGCTCCGCGCCGGGCACGCAGCTCCAGCCTCCAGTGGTTGGGTATCTGCGATCCCAGGGAGACTTGACAGCCAAGTCATCCCTAGGCATAGATCAGTGCTGCGTACGTGCGCAGGTTTTGATTTTTGTGCTTAGCAGAAGGTGACAGGGGTGGGAGTAGAGAACCAGAGTGTTCCTTTACTTTATACTGTGGGCGAGGGTTTAAAAATAGAATGAACATATCCGTCTTTCTCCTTCCCCGCTCCTTTGCACCACTTTTTACCTCTCCAGTTATCCTTGAAAACCCAAAAGTCTGCGAAGGAATGTCGTTAGCTTGCTTACAAAGGAGTTTAAGCTCATCTTAAGTTTCTGTAAAGCCGTTATTGGTACAAGGTAGTGGGGTGTTGGATACAATTTGCATGTTGCTTAACTTTTGCAGGGGAAGCTCAGAAAGTTTCTCCTCGTGGCCACAATAGAGCACTCTAGGGATGAGCACCTTGCACAGCAAGAATGGCTTTTAGTGTCTTTGCATTTCACGCACTTACAAATAGTTCAGTCCATCTTTTCATTTGGAGACTCAGGAAGAACTTGAGGCAGATAGTGGAATTGTCTTTGCCTCTTTTCCTGTCTCTGATGGATTTCCTAATAGAGGATATCTTTCAGCTAAGAAAGGTTGCCTCAGCAGAGTAGGATCCTACTGTGAGAATGCTCCCCAGGCCTCTTCAGAGAAAGACTTAGAGAAGCTAAGTCCGGGAGATGTTATTTGGTAAGCCTGTTTATTGCTTTTAAAATTGAAGAGTGAGACAGTGACTGCCAGGGCAGCAAATACAGGTCTTTGCAGAGGTGGGGGTGAAATAAAGGAGAAGGACTGAAACAGGAGGAGGCTCTCCCAGGCAGAGTCTTAGCAGGAGGCTGTGGCTTACCTGAAGTGGTGCACAGATTCTTCTGTTAGGTACCAGGGTCTTCCTTGTATCAGGGAACAAGTGACCCCTAGTTTGGGGTAAGCTTGGGAACCACTTACAAGTTGTGTCTGGAAATTTTGGTTGACCCTCTTGCCTGCTTTCTTTCTTAGAAACAGGGTCACTCTGTGTAGCCCAGGCTTGCCTGGAGCCCATGATCTTCCTGCCTCATCTTCCTGAGAGTGCTGTTATTAAAGGCACTAGCCTCAGGCCAGCTTTAATTGGTCCTCTGCTTCACTCAGCAAACATATAGAGTGCCTGCTGTTTGCGAGTACTGCACTGGGCACTGAGGATGTAACAGACATTCGGCTGTACATGTGGCTACAGAGGCACAATCCTGGTGTGGCTTTACTTGTATGTTATCTCATGTGCCTGTATTGATTTTGCAAATGAGAATTTGGAGGCTTGGGAAAGCCCTAGTCCAGAATCATTGAGTGTTAGCTACTAGCCTGGAGTTTTCCTTCTAGTCTAAGGGGTGTGAGAGGGCAATCGACTTCTTACCAGTACAGAACTCTTGATCCTGCTCCATCTTTCTTGCCTAGAATAGAGCCCCTTGGACCAAACTCGCCAGAATTTGGACTTGCATTTTGTACCTCAGCATCAAATCTGAGGAGGGTATATGTGGGTGACTGGCAATTTGCTTCCCACTATTTTTGAGAAACCTGATTCTTTAGATAGAAAGAAACATTGCATTGATGGCATCCGGGGGTTAACCAGTCTAATGTAATGAATCAGCTCTGTATGTTAGAAGGAAGACTGATGGGGAGCTGAGTATTCTGGTCTCTGGTCTTCTGCTACTGCTAACTACTGCTTTAACAGAGAACGTGATTGATGTTACCTCTTTGTCCTAGTTTGTTCTTCATTGCTGTGACAAAATACTCTGACCAATACCAACTTGTGGAGGAAAGGGTTTATTTAGCTTACATCTCCCAGGTCATAGTTCATCAGGGAGCCCAAGGTAGGAACTCAGGGCAGGAACCTGGAAGCAGG